TATATATATATATATATATATATATATATATATATATATATATATATATATATATATATATATATATATATATATATATATATATATATATATATATATATATATATATATATATATATATATATATATATATATATATATATATATATATATATATTATTTTATTACTATTTTTATTTTATTCTATTTTATTTTTTAATTGTGAAACTAACATTTCAAAAGTTTGATCTTATTTCATTTTTTTATTTATTTTAATTTTTTATTTAATACTGATACTAACATCTCAAAAACCCTATTTCTCTTACTTATTATTTATTATTATTGTTATATATTATTATTATTATATTAATTTTATTATTCACTTTTGTTTATTTTTATTTAATACTGATACTAACATCTCAAAAACTTACTTTTATTTATTTATTTTTTTAATTTTCTTGTATTATTTTATTTTATTTTTATTTTTTAATTGTTATACTAACATCTTTAAAGCTTTATTTTATTTTATTTTATTTATCAGTTTGTTTTATTTAATACTGATACTAACATCTCAAAAACTTATTTTCTTATTATTATATTTTATTATTATTAAACATTTTATTATTAATTTAATTTATTTATTTATTTAACACTGACACTAACATCTTAAAAACATAAATAGATTTAATTTGTTTTTAAATGATAACATTATTTCTTTATGACACACTCATAATATTTTTATTACTGATGCGAACATCTCAAAACTGTCATTAGTCTTATTTGTTATTTTTTATTATTATTATTTTAATTTTAATATTTAATTTAACTAATTTTTTATTTATTACTGATACTAACATCTCAAAAACATTATTTTTCTTATTATTTTTTCTTATTATTATTTTAATTGTATTTTTTATTTAATACTGATACTAACATCTCAAAAACTTTGACTTATTTTAAAATTATTATATTATTTTATTATGAAAAAAAATGTTTTAATACTAACATCTCAGAAACTTCGCGACGCAGTGGCGGAGTGGATAGCACATTCGCCTTACAGCAAGAAGGTTGCTGGGTCGAGCCTCGGCTCAGTTGGCGTTTCTGTGTGGAGTTTGCATGTTCTCCCTGCCTTCGCATGGGTTTCCTCCGGGTGCTCCAGTTTCCCCCACAGTACAAACACATGCGGTACAGGTGAATTGGGTAGGCTAAATTGTCCGCAGTGTATGAGTGTGTGTTTGTGAATGAGTGTGTGTGGATGTTTCCCAGAGATGGGTTGCGGCTGGAAGGGCATCCGCTGCGTAAAAACTTGCTGGATAAGTTGGCGGTTCATTCCGCTGTGGCGACCCCGGATTAATATGGGGACTAAGCCGACAAGCAAATGAATGAATGAATCTCAAAAACTTTATTTTTGTTATATATTATTATTTACTATTTTTATATTTTATTATTTTTATTGTATTATTTGATTTTATATATTTCATCTAATACTGATATTAAAAATATCAGTATTAAAAAGCTATTTTATTTTATTTTTATTATTATAATTTATCATTTTATAAGAGTTTTTATACTGATACTAACACTTCAAAGACTTGATTTTGACTTAATTTTAATTATTATTTTATTGTATTTTTTGTTTAATTATTTAATTTGTTTATTACTGATACTAACATCTTAAAAGCTTTATTTTCCTCCTTAATTATTTTTATTATTAATACATAGTATTAACATTATTTTAATTTAATCATTTTTTTTCATTTTTTATTTAATACTCTCAAAAACTTTAATTTAATTTATTTTTGAATTTTATTATGAAAAATTCATCATTTTTTATTACTGATACTAACATCTCAAAAACTTATTAATAATAAGTTATTTTTATTATTATTTATTAATATTATTAAATTTTTTTATATTGATACTAACATTGCAAAAAAATCTTATTTATTATTTTTTATTATTATTACTGTTTTATTATTATTAATTTAATATTATTATTTTTTTTTTAATACTGATACTAACATCTCAAAAACGTTATTTTACTGTTTTGTTATATTTTATTATTATTAATTATTATTATTATTAAGTTTTATATATTTTTTATTTAATACTGAGACTTGAATCTCAAAAATGCCATTTTATTTTATTTATTATTATTGTTATCATTATTTGTTATTTTATTTGACTTTTTTTTATACTGATACCAACATCTCAAAGATTTGATTTGTACTTTCAATAAAATTTAAATTATCATTTTTTATTTTATTTTATAATTTAAATAATGATTTGATTTATTTATTTAATACTGATACTATCATCTCAAAGACTTGATTTTCAATGATGCATCATGTAAGCGTGAAATCATCTGACCTGCTGGAGAGCAGTGAGGCATGTGTGTTGATGAGTGCGGCTCCAGAGGCGCGGGCGGCCGCTAGTATGGCCTGCTGAGCCGCAAGCTGCTGCGTGTAGAAGAAGTGAGCCTCGCGGAGCCGCCGCTGCTGCTGCTCACTGTGCAGACGCTCCTGCTGCTGCTGATGGAGATGCTCCAACATCGCCTCCAGCTTCAGGCCCGAAGAAAGACCCTCCTGACGGATAAACACACAGGTTTGTTTTTATGAATTGTGGGCACATTACATAGGTTTCCAATTGTTTTTATACTGTACAAACACCAATATTTATATAGCAAATAAATATAGCAAATATTTTAGTCTTTTATTACACTGCTTGATTTTTATTTTTGTTCTTTATTTTTTCTTTCCATTTTCTTTCACAAAACTTAATTTTTCCTTTGCAATTTTTTTTTGGAAATGGCTTTTTTCCTATTTATTTTGACATATACAGTAAAATAACATTCCAAAACAAACGCAGCTGCTCTTTTTTTATTTGTTTTATTTTTCAATGGGTGCTAATATAATTGTCAAAATGGTTTAATACATGCTTGGTCATTAGATAGGTCAATATGATACAGCAAATTAAAAACATGAAATTTATTCCAGTTTAATTGCATGCATTAAATTCTGACTTTGATGTTTTGTTTTGTTTTGTTTTTTGTTTTGTTTTATTTTTTGTTTTATTTTTTGTTTTATTTTATTTATTTATTATTTTATTTATTTATTATTTTATTTATTTATTTTATTATTATTATTATTATTGTTATTATTTTATTTATTTATTTTTTTAGATGCAAATGTTTTGTCCACTGCTTCAGCAGATCTTTCACAACATCTTTCAGTGTCTGATTATTACATGCATGCATTTTTGCTTTGCAAACACTGACTGATTTGGCTGCTGTTGCAAATTCTGCTGATGTCACCAAATCAGCATGAACGCTTTCAGAAGCAACAACTTTGATCAAATTATCAACAGATTAAACTTTAGCTTTTAATACACACGACAGAAATAAAAGCAGCAGTTTGATCTGGAAGAAAAGCCAGTAAAAGCTAAATGTTGAACATTGCAGATTATTGTTAAAACTAGATGTTTTTGTCTAAAGAAGATATTTCCACATGCATGCGTTTAAATAAAAGTGTTTTACATAGTAGCTATGGTCAAAATACAACATTTGAAAGCACGAAATGCACTGCAGCGACCTTATGGAGAATGACAAGTGATGCAGTTACTAAAATAAATCTTATGTAGCACAGCTTTATATTAGGAAATTGCCAATGAAATCCAATGCATGAGTCAAAAGTATCTATTTTCTTTTATGCCACAAATTATTGGAATATTAAGTAAAGATCCCTGCAGACCCTTAGAATACTTCCTACAGTGTGAAACACATCAAAACTTCACTCTTGATTAGTAATGTGCATTGCTAAGAGCTGCATTTGTTCAACTTTAAAGATGATTTTCTTAATATTAATGCATTCATCAGTTCCCCTATAGCGCATGTGTTTGGACTGTGGGGGAAACCTGAGCACCTGGAGGAAACCCACGCCAACACGGGGAGAACATGCAAACTCCACACAGAAACACCAACTGAGCCAGCCGGGACTCGAACCAGCAACCTTATTACTGTGAGGCCACAGTGCTGACCACTGAGCAACTGTGCCACCCATTTTCTCAATATTAAGATTTTCTCAATAGTTCTATCTCAGACAAACATTAGTAATGAGCAATATGCACTGCATTGATACATGCAAACTTAAAGGGAAATTTCTCCATATTTAACCTTTAGATTCCAGATATTCTTATATTGTCCTAACATCAATTGAAAGATTGATTATTTATTTATTTATTTTGTTTGTTTGTTTGTCCGTTGGTTGGTTCGTTCATTCATTCATTCGTTCATCTATCTATATATCTATCTATCTATCTATCTATCTATCTATATATCTATCTATCTATCTATCTATCTATCTATCTATCTATCTATCTATCTATCTATCTATCTATCTATCTATCTATCTATCTATCTATCTATCTATCTATCTATGTATCTATCTATCTATCTATCTATCTATCTATCTATCTATCTATATATCTATCTATATATCTATCTATCTATCTATCTATATATCTATCTATCTATCTATCTATCTATCTATCTATCTATCTATCTATCTATCTATCTATCTATCTATATGTCTGTCTGTCTGTCTGTCTGTCTGTCTGTCTGTCTGTATATATATATCTCTCTGTCTGTCTGTCTGTCTGTCTGTCTGTCTGTCTGTATATATATATATCTCTCTGTCTGTCTGTCTGTCCGTCCATCCGTCCATCTGTCTGTTTATCCATCCATCCATCCATCCATCCATCCATCCATCCATCCATTCATCCATCTATCAGACTGTGCATAAATCTCAATTTAAAAGCTAATTAAAAAGACACTGGTGGTTTTGTGGTCACAAATAGACTCTAAAAAATTCTGGGTTTCCATAATAAAATGTTGGGTCAAATATGGACAAAACCAACCATTGGGTTAAAGTGTGTCATTTAAATTTCATTTCAAAAATGAACCTAATTTTGGGTGTTAACAATTAATTAGCCAAAAATGACAGTGACACCGTTTACTCACCCTTTCAAACCGCTGTGAGCTTTTGTCTTCTGTGCAACATTAAAGAAGATATTTTGAGGAGTGATTAAAACCTGTAGCCATTGACTCACACAGTATTCATTTTTCAAACAATGGAAGTCAATGGTTACCAGTTTTTAGCATTCTTCAAAATATCTTCTTTTGTGTGCAACAGTAGGAAGAAACTCATAAAGGTTTGGAACCACTTGAGTAAATAGTGAGTACATTTCTCGAGTGAACTATACCTTTAATTTATCCTCCTTCTGTAATTCATTCATTTTCTATTCTGCTTAGTCCCTTTATTAATCTGGGGTCGACACAGCGGAATGAACCGCCAACTTATCCAGCACATGTTTTATGCAGCGCATGCCCTTCCAGCTGCAACCTATAACTGGGAAACACCCATACACAGACAATTTTAGCAAACCCAATTCACCTTTACCACATGTCTTTGGACTTGTGGGAAAAACCGGAGCACCCGGAGGAAACCCTCGCCATCATGGGGAGAACATGCAAACTCCATACAGAACTGACCCAGCCGAGGCTCAAACCAGCGACCCTCTAGCTGTGAGGTGATCGTGCTACCCACTGTGCCACCGCATCGCCCCCTTCATCTTTAGTAGAACATGAAAAAAACTGAGCTGAATTCCTGCTGTGCTTCATATAATGGCAGTGAATGGTGACAGGTTTAGATTCGATTAATAATAAACTCATACAAACAAGTCCAAAATAATAGCCGTGGCTCCATGACACACTGAGCTCTTGTGAAGCGAAACGATCGCTCCGTGTAAGAAATTAAACCTTCATTCATTCATTTATTTTCTTTTCGGCTTAGTGCCTTTATTAATCAGCAGTCGCCACAGCGGAATGAACCGCCAACTTATCCAGCATATGTTTTACACAGCGGATGCCCTTCCAGCCACAACCCATCACTGGGAAAAGAAATTAAACATTATTTACAATATTATTAGCAGTTTAATGATGAATATTAGTGAAATATTTGTGATTAGTGATCACCAGTGCTCACACTTTAGTCATTAAAGTGACAATCGCAATACATTCACACATGCACTCTGTTGACCAGGCTGTGGATTAAAGCAAGTAATATTGTAAATAATGTATAATTTCTTACACAGAGCGATCATTTCAGGAGCCATGACTTGTTTGTATGTGCTTTCTTAATCTAAAAAACCCATCAACATATATGAGCGGCTTTATGTGAACCACCAAGGAGCAAGACATCAGCTCAAAACCTTCTTGAACGTTCTACTGAGGAAAAAAAAGTCACCAACAACTTAAATAATCTGTGAGAGAGTCAATTCACAGCCTTTTTTGAGTGTATTAAAAACAACTAGAACCTAAAGTTCATTGATAAACTTTGATGTTGGCTTGAGAAAGTCAAACGCTTATGGCATTGTTAGGGGGTTGCTAAGCACATGCTAAATGGCAATGCTCGTGCACATGTTTGATCAAATGCTAATACTTAGTAGGCATTTCTAGCATATGTTATTGCATTTAGATAAACATTCATAGCATGTAGCTAATCGTTATTAGCACTTGGCTTCCATGATCATTGTTACCATGCATAGTACACAGGAAGTCCCATTTGCTAGCATGAGTCAAACAAGCCAATGCCCAGGTCCCTACGATGTTCTGATGTAGCGATATTGCTATTTTTAAATGGTTGCTAGGTTATACTGTTTTATTGCTATGGGGACATTTGACAGGTTAGTGATGATACATCAAAGCTTCTTGGCAATATGAGTGATCTTAATCAACCCCGATGTTTCTATGACAGTCTTTATGAGTGTCAAAAACTGGACTTGAACATTATGTATTCCTGGTGTTGGGTTGCGGCTGGAAGAGCATTCGCTGTGTAAAACAAATGCTGGATAAGTTGGCGGTTCATTCCGTTGTGGCGACCCCTGATTAATAAAGGGACTAAGGGAATGAACATTATGTAAAAATGGCTTGCCGTATTTTTTTGAAAATACAATGCTTAATAAGTGTGAAAGTGATACATGCAAAAATGGCTTCCCATATCAGCAAAAAATATGGAGTTTACGTCAAAAATGGCTTGTCATATCAGTAAAAATATGGAGTTTACGTCAAAAATGGCTTGCCATATCAGTAAAAAATAGAGTTTACGTCAAAAATGGCTTGCCATATCGGTAAAAAATATAGTTTACGTCAAAAATGGCTTGCCATATCAGTAAAAAATATCTAGTTTACGTCAAAAATGGCTTGCCATATCAGTAAAAAATATGGAGTTTACGTCAAAAATGGCTTGCCATATCAGTAAAAAATATCTAGTTTACGTCAAAAATGGCTTGCCATATCAGTAAAAAATATGGAGTTTACGTCAAAAATGGCTTGCCATATCAGTAAAAAATATGGAGTTTACGTCAAAAATGGCTTGCCATATCAGTAAAAAATATCTAGTTTACGTCAAAAATGGCTTGCCATATCAGTAAAAAATATGGAGTTTACGTCAAAAATGGCTTGCCATATCAGTAAAAAATATCTAGTTTACGTCAAAAATGGCTTGCCATATTTTGAGAAAAATAATGCTTAAAAATTATTTATTGGAAAACTATAAGTCTGATAAACCTTAAAGATATAGCAACAAAATCTAACACATCTAAATACAGCTTTTGGCCAAATTTGGGGCTTGTATAATTTTTTTATATGCCCGGATTATAAAAATTTAATATTTAACATTTTTTATTAAAAAAATGATAAGTCTTACAGGCATGAGGAGATATAGCAACAATCTTGAATGTAGAAGGCACATTTTGACCACATTTGGGCCTTGTGGCATGAACGGCCTAGGAGGAGATACGTTTGTTTTCAAGGACAAGGAGTAGTATAACAACAACCAACATAATGATTCTGATTGACAGGTTAAAATATAACACACACACACACACACACACACACACACACACACACACACATATATATAATAAAATGCACAACTCTCAATGCAAACCTAAAGAGGCGATTGAGCGAAGGTCAGAATCAGGCGATTTTACAACAGGACTAAAAACAGCGGATCAAAGCAGAGGCCCCTAATGAAAACAACATGCCTGAGAGAGTGTGTGCAAGTGTGTGCATGTGTGTGTGTGTGTCACCACAATGATAGTAAAACATGCATGGTATCACCGCCACTGTGGCAGCCCCGAGACGAAAATAAAAAGCCTAAATAATGAAAATCTGGACATGACAGAGGCTTTACAGGATGGAGACAGAAAACACACAGATTATAATGAGCTTTTCTGCTTTAGATTTCAATTCACCTTTATTTCTAGCGCTTTTTACAATGTAGAGTGTGTCAAAGCAGCTTCACATAGAAGATCATAGTGATTTAAAACAATATCAGTTCAGTTCAGATCAGATCTCCTTAGAATAAATGTAGGAGACACATTATCAGAGTATTAACTAACACTATAAGCTTAAACTAGGTTATACTAGTATATTAAACTGCTCTGTTCACTTTGATGTTGAAAATTCAACTCTACAGTCATTTTTTTGACATTTTAGTGTGTTTTAAATAATATTAGAAGTAATATGTGGAGAAATAAACCTGTAAAATAGTAGAAAATGTGCTGCAGGCTATTACAAGGTGTTTGTAGCGTTCACTCTAAAAAAC